ACGAGAGAGAGAGAGAGAGAGAGAGAGGGAGAGAAGGGACGGAGAGGGAAAGCGAACGTGGGAACAGCGCATTGTTTCGCTGTTGGCCCGCTATCGATCCACGGTTTTTAACGCGGTTTTTTGTTGCTTCGGTAAAAAACGAAACGGGAAGTTTCGAAATTAGGCTGGACTGGATAGGCGAAGTGTCGATTTTTAAACGACGGGAAGTGGGTCGGTCGGCTTAAGCGTGTTATCTCGTTGCGCTGGCTGGTTCGAATAATATAACTCGCGGCTCCATGTAGTTTATATCATAATCGCCTTATTTTCTTCCTTTTTCCTTTTTTCTCGTAAAAGGGAGAGAGCGAGATTGTGTTTCTCCTTTTTATTCGGTAGTAACAAATTTCAACTGTTTCCGTGTGGAATCGTGAAATAAAATTCGATCGTTCCTTTTTAATTAGCCACAACGACGAGCGAGACTCGTGGCAAGAAATTTGGGCGAAAAACTGTAACCACGAACTCGTGGGCGTTTCGTTGGGATCAAATGTGAACGACACGAGTGACCGAACACATTCGTTCGAAGCGCGTCTCCTCTCATCCATCGTGAACCACGTTGACACTTAAAGCCGATATTTCAAGAGTTCGGGGACAATTATCGATTTCAAGGGTGCGATGACGTTTGAACGCGTTCGTCCAAATGTTTTCGTCGAGGGTAAAATCGAGAGAAGAAACAATTGTTTCTTCGAGCGACTCATCGTAGATCGACGAGAATCCTTGTCGCACGGAATGTCGATTTTTCCTCTAATCGTCGATTCCAATCAACTGTTGTAACTTGAAAAATATTCCTTATCGCGGAATTTTTAACCGGCGATCCATTTCTGCTGATCTTTGAAGATCGCCAGGAATTGCGAAACGCGATAACCAGAAGAATATTATATTTATTCGATCGAAACGAGTCTCGAATCACTGTTATCCCATCAAAAATACAAAATATATATAGAATTCTCTCAGACCCTTGATTCGACGATGCGATAATAATAGCGGCACACGTGCACGCGATAGACACGATAAAAAAAAAAAAAATACACGAGCTCTTTGTTTCGACAAATTTTTAATTACGAACTCGAACCATTACAAGCGTGCATACGATACGATAACCGTGTATCGCGTAAAGTAATGACATAACGCGTTACGAGAGAGAGAGAGAGAGAGAGAGAGAGATAAGGGAACTGCTTCGCTGGCGAATGTCCCGCGGAGAGAATTTCGCCACTTTGTATCGATTGCAACGACATCTCCCCACGAGCACTCGTCATTTCGATTGTTTCTTCTTATGTAACAGAGAAGAGGAAGAGAGTGTTGGCGGGATCGAAAAGTTGAAGAATCGCGTGCTTTTCATAATGTCCCGAGCCCTGCAATACCCGCGTTACGTAAGCATCCGAGGATCAATCTATAAGCAAGTAAGAGCGAACAGGTGGGATATTCGTTTCCCTCGAAGCCACAATGACTTCGACCGTTGCGTCGATCGTTGCGTCAATTGAGGCTTAATCGAGGCGAGAATGACGAAAGGATGGAAACTCGATTAGCAGCGGCGGACGCAACGAATTTCGAAATATTTCGTTCGTTTTTCTTCGATCGATCGAAATAAATAAATAAATCGCTCTCATATTCATCCTCGAGGAATCTCGAGCTTAATCGAGCG